GAAGGAAGGAAGGAAGGAAGGAAGGAAGGAAGGAAGGAAGGAAGGAATTTGGCTAAAGTATTTATATAATATGTAAGTACAATGTAGAATTATAATTTAGATCCTAGGCTAGAAATCATTTTTTTTTCTTTTGCTACAAAAGGCATTAGAGACGCATTTGGTAAAATTTGAATAAGGTCTATAAATTAGAAGTATTGTATCGATGTACATTAGATTTTGGTAAACTGTGGCTATGTAAAAGAAAACCCTGTGCTTAGGAAATTCACAATAGGAATATGTGAATGTCTGTAACTTATTCTTAAAAAGTTCAGAAAAAAACTGTAATAGTTAGGGGGATGGGATGAATGAGGGAGAGACAGAGACATTTCCACCAGATTTCCATTCTTCTTTTCCTAAATCTCAGTGGACTTAGGGTATTGTCATTGGGTTGAGCAAATTATAAGATTTAGTCTTGGAAGAAGACCCTGAATGAGACATGATATCTGAAAGGCTATCATGTGTAACAGCTATATTGTGTTTTTCCTAAAGAGCACAGAAGCCAGCTTATGGATAATCAAGGTCTGGCTCAGTCCAAGAAACGAATTCCTCATAGTCAAGACTATTCAACAAGAGAATGGACTCTATGTGGAAATGGACATCCGGGCACTAACAATGTTAAGACAGGGGTGGGAAGCCCACTCAGCAGGATGTCGTATGGGGTTTTCTTACGTCTGATGGGGAACATAATAGAGTGCTTTTCTGGTTCCCTTCACGTCTACACAATTTCTCTTTGTTGACTGAATGATCCTGGTGGAGGCCTCCCATGAGACACACCCTAGAGGGTAAGTGCACAAAGTCCTAATTTTCCCAAGAGATACTTTAAATTCTCCTTGAAGAAATACAGAGGAAAAGGAGTCCAAGAATCCTGTCTCAACACTTAACATATGCCCCTTTCCAGCTGAACCTCCTCGGGCTACTGGCTTGGTGGACAAATGTGTCCCAGCCCACATATACCCCACAGATGTCTGGTCATCTCTGCTTGTGTGGACAAGGTGCATTGGGAGGCTATCACCGGCCGACTCTCAGCACAAATGCCCAAATCTTGCAGCCCTGCTCTCATTACCACATTTCTCCATTACCCCCACCGTTCACGCTGGCTTATGAGACAATATAGGCTTCTGGCCGAGGGTGTATGAGACAGATCCCCTGAGCCGTAATTGGAGAAGCAAATTTCAGCTCAAAGTCAGATTTTTTCCCTAAGACCATGTAAGTACACATAAGTGAAAAAATAACACAAAAACTCAGGGCTTTATTCCAGAGGGGTTTTCTCATAATATTAAAGAAATTCTTTTGTTGTTGTTGTTGCTTTGTGTGAGTTTGTCAAATTCTAAGTTGTCAGGCTTCACTGAGCCCCACTGAGATTTTTGACCCATTTGTACCGTTGGGATCATTGTTGTTCGTTTGTTTGTTTGTTTAATTTTTTTGTTTTTTCACTTTTACAACATTTCATTCAGCCATGACCCTGAACTGAGGGTGATGAGCTTTGTTTGCCAGGTGATGTGTTTGCAGAAGGTTTAAATCACTGTCATTACCTCCTTTAATGAATTATTCTTTTGCATCAACCGTATTTCTCTCCTTGGCTGGCTGCAGCCACAAAGCACCAGAGTTCTTTACTGCCTGAATGAGGTTCCAGCCTATCCAATATCTGACGTTTAAAAGAAAATCGAGGATTAAGTAGGAGGTATTAAAGTATCACCCGCTGGAAAGATGCCAGAATAGCAAACACAGTGGACAGAGGCCCCGTGGGCACAGAGAGGTTAAGGTCTTCTGTCTTTTATCTATTTTAAGGGTATGAGACTAATAATGTGTTATCTTTTTTTTTTTTTAAGTTTTTTTATTTATTTTTGGGACAGAGAGAGACAGAGCATGAACGGGGGAGGGGCAGAGAGAGAGGGAGACACAGAATCGGAAACAGGCTCCAGGCTCTGAGCCATCAGCCCAGAGCCCGACGCGGGGCTCGAACTCCCGGACCGCGAGATTGTGACCTGGCCGAAGTCGGACGCTTAACCGACTGCGCCACCCAGGCGCCCCTAATAATGTGTTATCTTAATGACCTTCATCCCCTACTCTTTGGAGGGGTAGGGGGCAGGGATAACGGGGGAAAAACCTTTAATTGTCTCAGAGAAAAATCCCTTATCAAATCCTAATGATTTTATTCATGATTTCCCGTTAATCCTCAACAAGCTGCCATGTTTACTAACATCGAAAATGGCTACACCTCCTTCCCCGCTGACCCCACCTCAGTCAATCTTTCTCTAAGAATGGCTTGCAGAGTTTTGCAAAAGTCAATATGCCTCAAAAACCCTCAGCAAACTGAGGAAGAGCAAATGTGGAGAAGAGCTAAGACTGAAATGAGGGTCACCGAGATCAGTGATATGCAGGAGTTCTAGAAGATCTAAGAGGGAAACAGTGCTTCTCTAGGGGCCAAATAGCCATGAGAAAATGTTTTGGGTGAATGCAGGGTTCAGGGCAGGAGAGGGCTCCAGGTCCCCTGACCCTCTTCAAAACAGATCAGTTGCACTTAAGTCTGTTTATATAAAGGACTTTCTACTAAGATTTCCTTGGGAAAAAAAATTCCTGCTCCTTAATTTTTTTAAGATTTCTCAAGTAGATTGGTTTATCTTAAACTTCTAGGAGGATGGGGGTAGGTTGGACAGAGAGGAGATATGAGTTTAATATCTCACTCCTCACTCCCACCCCTTCTCAAAGGCACTCTCAGTGCCCTGTCTCCATCCTGTTGAATGTCTTCTCTGGCCAGTTTTCTTTTGGCAAATCCATGAACTCAACCTTGACCTTCCCTCTAATTCACCCTCCTATATTCTACCGCTTCGGCCTCTCCAGATTATATTATCCTCCAGAATGAAGTCTGTGTAGCTAATTATGTCTGAAATGTTACCTAGCAATATTCTTATTTTTACCCCACGTATTTCTTCATTGAGGTTCAGATGGTTTTTTTCTTCTTTTGGCTCAGACCCCATCGATGCAGATTTTTACACTCAGGTAAAAAGAAAAAAAAAATAAATAACTGGAAGGGAATGTGCCAAGATATCACTAGTACTTACAGAGGAGGAAAAGACTGAGGATTCTATTTGCTTTAGACTTTTTAGATTCAATTTAGGCTTTTCTGTAGTTCTTATTCCCCACATACTCTACAATGCATTTTACTAATCAGGAGCAGTAAAAAATATTACCTTTTTGACAGGAGGTCCTTAGACTATTGGTCATGCCATGTTGTAAATGCCTGTGGGCAGGGTGAACGGCCCCTAGGTTACTATAGCAACCAACTCCCTTTTTTACTCTTACCCCATCCCCTTCAAAAGTGAATTACCTGCCTACTCCCTGAAGTCATTTGAAACCCTCATCATCTCTATAGAGATGTTTATCCTTATAAAGAAGAAAGTCTAGATGCCTTCAAGACTCAAAGATTGACTGTCTCATGGGGAACAGTCAGCCCCATGCCAGGCTGGTGGAGAAATGCTCTGTGACCCAGATTATTATACCTGCAAGCAGTCCATGCCTCTGCCACTGTTCCTTGGCAAAACCAAAGAAAATTTTCATCTCTGCTCTTCACTTCCCATATCTGGGAAATTTCATCAGCCCTTTTAGGGTCGAGTGATGACTTAAAGCAGAGGCCGCGTGGGAACCTGCGGCAGAGCAACAAACCAAACAACACAATAGCCGCGCTCTCAGATGAGACGGACACATTATTGCAGACCTCTAAACTCCGCCATCCCTTAGTCACCCACCCTTTGTGGCCTCGATGGGCCTGCTTGGCAGGCAGAGCTTCCAGGTGCCCACTTTCTTTTGGGACTCCTTGTACCTGGCCAGGAACTCCACCACTCTCCAGCTGTGTGGACTTGAACCTGTCAGTTCACTGTTGTATCACTAAGTCTTTAGCTGAATGACAAAACTAATAATATCCCTTCCTGGGGAGTTGTTGAGAAAATTACATGAGATAATACACACAAAGTTGATAGCTCCATGCCTGACGCATACTAAACACCCAATACCCGTTACCCATTATGACTGTCATTATCAACATGATAAGCAAAATCTACTTATGGCTCCAACTTCCCCTCTATTACTATGGACAACAAAGTGCCAAATGCTCGGGATATGAACATATTCTTTTTGACAGCTTCATTCAAGAGCAGGAGCTCCAGGGTCACATAGCTGTTGATTTGAATGTTGGCTCTACCAGTTACCAGCTCTGAAACCTCAGTTCAGTTGCTTAGTCACTCTCAACTATATTTCCATCATCCGCAAAGAGTAACGCAAGATAAAAAAAGATTAATTACAACATCAGCCCTACAAGCTCATTAGAGGGAATAAATGCTTAGCATAGCACCCGGCACAAAGCTTGTGCTCGATAAATGAGAATTCCCTTCCCCATAAGGATGACATCAAACTTCACATACCTTTTACCGGTGATCATTCCCCAAGGAAAAGTTTCTAAATAAGTAAAATGTATAGTCAAGTGTCTTCAG